CGATACTATATATTACTTTGTACATTGTATTAAGCATATAAATGTTATACTATTTGTTATTATACGCTGTACCATTGACCGTCGTATCAATGGGTGAGTCGTGGGGGGGGAAACTTGCAGCGGAGCAAAGAATCCATTCCCTGCGGAGAATACAATGCCAGTGAGTGGAACGCGGTCTGAAAGTCACCGTAAACGTGAACACAATCAGTTAAGATCCGAAATGGTTTATTACGTCCTTCCAATGATTGCTAAGCCAGAATCCATCTTCTCGGTTAAAATTGTCTCTGTGTTTGTATATGTGGATCGCCTCATGAACGAATCTCTCATGGTAGTCAGATGGATTGCAGAGAACCTCTGTGTTGTAGAAGTCAATGTCATGTGAGCCTACTGAATTGTAACAGTGATCTACCACGGCTGAGGTGTTTGTCCTACCGTGTTTCAGGTCTGCTTTATGTTCACGGATGCGGTCCGAGACATGTCGTTTGGTTTCTCCAATGTAACTGCTACCACAGAGGCAACTTAGTTTGTAGACACCAGGGTACTGTATGTCTGGAACCACGTCTTTTACAGACGGGACCAGATCACGGATTTTATGTACTGTGTTGAATCGGACCTGTATCTAAGAATCACACTATATGCTCGTGAGTATGAAACATGTCTGTATGTAATATGCATGAATGTAATATGTCTGCATGTAACATGTTTGCATGTAATATGTATGTATGTATGTAATATGGACGTGCGAACCAAGGGTGCAATATGTGAAATGGAAGGTGCAGGATCAGGATGGGATTAAAATTATTTGAATAACACTTTGGTGTTATTAGGATCAAGCTATCCACTATTGGATGAATGTTCCGTCTCAATGGCATCAAATAGCAATATTCAGTATGAATATGTAAAATAATCGCACAAACCCAATATTAGCCCGTGAAATAATGAATCGTTACAATTGTAATGACTCCGGACTCAGACTGCAGAGGGTTCTTTTATTTAGCCATTAACGCGGTTTCAGACCCCAGGCGTCACGATATAGCAACGACGACGACGAGACAGCAATCAGCCAACACAGCCCCAAACCTCGTTACTCCCCCTCTCTCATTCTCGGCGTGAACCTCCGCCCACACTTGGTCTCGCCTTCCCTTCTCGAACTCTCTCTATCTTGTCCCTTAGTTCATGCACTGTCTTTACATCACCCACCTCTATGACCTCTACCTGACCCCGCCATGGGCGGAGCAACTTGGGGGATTTTCCCGGTGGCACCTGTAGGCAATACAACCATGCCCTGTCCCCCACTGCCCATGGAAGCACGTGTTCCCGCCGGCCCGAGTTCTTTTCATTAGCTGATTGCGCTCTGGTGGGGAAAGGTCCTCGTTATGAATCGTTTCGCAACATTCAGGTCCAGAATACCTGCACTTAAAAACATGTAAACACTAGACGTAAAAATGATTGCAAATGAATAAAAACGTATTTTTAACAAATGTTTGTCCCTTATTTATTTTACAATGTTCATAGCAAAGACGTGTTAAGAGAGTTTCAGGTGGAAGATCTCCGTTACACAAGTCTGCACTTAATCGGCAGCATCTTGGTTGTCTCCCCCATTATCATGTTCCTTAAGGGGAAAGGTCCACGTTGTTAATCGTTTCTAAGCGTACCAGTCCCTAATCCAGAAGCATGCCGTGGATAAACGATACTAAACAACCACGTAAAAACTACATACTGCAGCTACATATTATTACATTCCTTCCCTTTATTAATGCTACCCCTATCCCCTGCCTTTGATGCTGCTAATCCTGCATAATGCACGGGCATAATGACTTTCCCACTTTTAATGTAATATAGAGCATACTAATGCTTAACAAAATGGAGGAATTCACTTTTTCTTTTTACTTCTAAATTGCATGCATGAAATTCCACACTTTTTAACGTAATATATAGGCTACTCAGGCTAAACACAACCAAGAAATGCACTTTTAGTTGAAAAATAAAGCTAGGAAAATTGGATTTCGATTTAAAGCTTTCGTAACTGCAGGGATTCATCTTCTTGGTTCTTTCGGTAAAGTCACGTAGAAAGAAATAATCTTTCTGACAGACCTGTTCTTCACCTGACGGCTGCTTGCGTTGTGGCCGAAACGTCGTGAGAATAATTTATTTTTATTATTTTATTATTTCCATTCTACGTGACTTTACCGAAAGAACCAAGAAGACTAGGAAAATTGGACCAATTTTTCCAAAATACGGCATAGGTTAGTATGGCGATTTTATTTTTATGGACGTGAAAATGTCATTGAAATTTCGCCAGCGGTGTGCTGGAGAGTCAAGCAACGACATGTACAAAGTGCTGCTCATAGCGAGTAGCACCGATGGAGGTCGTCACGGCACACGAGGGGGTGGGTGGCCAGCACCACGCCCGGCCGCCTTTGTCTCCCTAGTGGCGATGTTGACACACCGCACCGGGTACTCGTTTGAGGCTGAGTCGAAACTCGCTCCCTTTATGTCAACAAACTTGAACTCTGACCCCGCTCTCTGACGTCTCGCGCAGCGTGACCTCATCGTCTTCAAACGCCAGGGGGAGCTGTTCCTCGCTAGTGACGTCATGTCACCCACCCCCGACCACCGCGCTCTTGAGCGTGACGTCACCGCTTGCCAATCCTTATTTGGGCAAAGCCACGCCCGGTACGTGGCGGCTCATTAACATAATTTATTCGTGAAAGCCGTCGCGATTTGAGAGCCGCTCATTGTGGGAGGGGAGTGTCATCGTACCCCGCAAGTGACGTCATGTCGCCTGCTACCGCGTGACGTCGCGAGGGACCAGGAAGTTGCCGCTCCGCCCGTGAACTGAAATCCGAGGTGAGAAATCCTCATCGCGGTTGTTGTTGTTGTGGTGGTTGTGGTTGTTGTTTATTGACGTAGAGCCTCACTCTCTCTCTCTCTCGTAGGGATGTTAATTGAGTAGCAGCGAGCATGGAAGCGATGTCCAGGTTGTAACTTTACAACGCGGGGCCTTGCCTCCTGCCCTCGCCTGATCGCGTTTGCTTCAAATCTCTCGCTAAAGTTTAATTTCTCTTCACCTGGCTCGCAACTTTGTAACTTTGTTTTACTTTATATATTCTCAGTTTTTCTTTTTTTTTTTTTTACCAGGCCAAGCCCGCTTGAGCTGCTATACCGCTCTTGTTTTCAGAAGCGACCTTCCCACAACAACAAGGTGAGCTTTGTCAACACGTGGCGGTGTTCACTCTAGACGCGTGGTGGTGTTCACTCTGGACGCGTGGCGGTGTTCACTCTAGACGCGTGGTGGTGTTCACTCTGGACGCGTGGTGGTGTTCACTCTAGACGCGTGGTGGTGTTCACTCTAGACGCGTGGCGGTGTTCACTCTAGACGCGTGGTGGTGTTCACTCTAGACGCGTGGTGGTGTTCACTCTAGACGCGTGGCGGTGTTCACTATAGACGCGTGGTGGTGTTCACTCTAGACGTGTGGTGGTGTTCACTCTAGACGCGTGGTGGTGTTCACTCTGGACGCGTGGTGGTGTTCACTCTGGACGCGTGGCGGTGTTCACTCTAGATGCGTGGCGGTGTTCACTTTAGACGCGTGGCGGTGTTCACTCTGGACGCGTGGTGGTGTTCACTCTAGACGCGTGGTGGTGTTCACTCGAGACGCGTGGCGGTGTTCACTCTAGACGCGTGGCGGTGTTCACTCTAGATGCGTGGTGGTGTTCACTCGAGACGCGTGGCGGTGTTCACTCTAGACGCGTGGTGGTGTTCACTCTAGACGCGTGGCGGTGTTCACTCTGGACGCGTGGCGGTGTTCACTCTAGATGCGTGGTGGTGTTCACTCTAGACGCGTGGTGGTGTTCACTCTAGACGTGTGGCGGTGTTCACTCTGGACGCGTGGTGGTGTTCACTCTAGACGCGTGGTGGTGTTCACTCTAGACGCGTGGCGCTGTTCACTCTAGACGCGTGGCGGTGTTCACTCTAGACGCGTGGCGGTGTTCACTCTAGACGCGTGGTGGTGTTCACTCTGGACGCGTGGTGGTGTTCACTCTGGACGCGTGGTGGTGTTCACTCTAGACGCGTGGTGGTGTTCACTCTAGACGCGTGGTGGTGTTCACTCTAGACGCGTGGTGGTGTTCACTCTAGACGCGTGGCGGTGTTCACTCTAGACGCGTGGTGGTGTTCATTCTAGACGCATGGTGGTGTTCACTATAGACGCGTGGTGGTGTTCACTATAGACGCGTGGCGGTGTTCACTATAGACGCGTGGTGGTGTTCACTCTAGACGCGTGGTGGTGTTCACTCTGGACGCGTGGCGGTGTTCACTCTAGACGCGTGGCGGTGATCACTCTAGACGCGTGGCGGTGTTCACTCTGGACGCGTGGCGGTGTTCACTCTAGACGCGTGGTGGTGTTCACTCGAAACGCGTGGCGGTGTTCACTATAGACGCGTGGTGGTGATCACTCTAGACGCGTGGTGGTGTTCACTCTAGACGCGTGGTGGTGTTCACTATAGATGCGTGGTGGTGATCACTCTAGACGCGTGGCGGTGTTTACTCTAGACGCGTGGTGGTGTTCACTATAGACGCGTGGTGGTGATCACTCTAGACGCGTGGTGGTGTTCACTCTAGACGCGTGGTGGTGATCACTCTAGACGCGTGGTGGTGATCACTCTAGACGCGTGGTGGTGTTCACTCTAGACGCGTGGTGGTGTTCACTCTAGACGCGTGGTGGTGTTCACTCTAGACGCGTGGCGGTGTTCACTCTAGACGCGTGGTGGTGTTCATTCTAGACGCGTGGTGGTGTTCACTATAGACGCGTGTTGGTGTTCACTATAGACGCGTGGCGGTGTTCACTATAGACGCGTGGCGGTGTTCACTCTGGACGCGTGGTGGTGTTCACTCTAGACGCGTGGTGGTGTTCACTCTGGACGCGTGGCGGTGTTCACTCTAGACGCGTGGTGGTGTTCACTCTAGACGCGTGGTGGTGTTCACTCTAGACGCGTGGTGGTGTTCACTCTGGACGCGTGGCGGTGTTCACTCTCTGCATGTGGAGAGGGGACAACCGGGAGATCCGGAGGGAAATCCACACGACCACGGGGAGAGAGAGAGAGAGACACGTAAGCTCCAAATATACAGCAGGCGTCAGGGTTGGGATCGAACCCACGACTTCCTGTATGCCAGGACAGGTAGTTAACATCTCACCACAGAGAGAGAGACATGCAGCCTCGGCTGTGTTGGTTGATCCTCAATGAATTACTTGGTGGAGTGAGGAAGCATTCATACTGAGCGGATGAAGGTAGCCAGGCATGGGTCTGGACACGCCACCACCTGTGAACCATGTCACTGAAAAACCCTGAAAATTTGATTCTTGTAAGAAAGAAAAAAGCTGAAAGAAATCAATTTAACTAAATCGGATGTTTTTCACTGAAGGAAATTTAACCTTAACCCACTTCTACGTAATGTCGATTTTGGCAACTCGGAAAGGGAATGACGTGGCGAGCTGAAAATAGTCGTGTTCACTTATCAATTCCAGACAGCATAAGCTGTGAAAATTTCATGACGCCAGAGCTTGGCGTTGTAGAGTTTTTGCTGCTTCACACAAACAAACATGTAATTTCTGCTTAATATTTAAGATAGCAGTTGTACCTGTTCTTCACACGGATATGTATTGAAACTCCGAGAAGCCAATGGCTTCATCGGCCAGGAGCGAAGCGCCACCTAAAATCTCCCGGCACGCTGTTAACAGCTCTAGAAGTACGGCGCACGAAGAGCCATATGGTAGGGGTAAGCGTTGCAGAGCGCTTAACTCAGGTGTGTTGCGGGTTGACGCCACACACTCCATGGTCATTTCTCCCCCCCCCCTCCCAAAATACAAGTCTATTTTTTATAGTTTTTACATTGTGTACAGTATGGAACCTACCCACATGCCAAATTTCAAGTGTGTTGCATGTTGGGAAGTATGCTAAACATTTCGAACAGACACGTATCCACACATTTCCCTTTTATATATAGACTAGCTGTACTACCCGGCTTCGCCCGGGACTTGTATCCACCACGGCCGGCCGCCTTTGTCTCCCCAGTGGCGATGTTAATACGCTACAGCAGTTACTCGTTTGAGGCAGAGTCGACCTAGGGGAGGTTCAAATAATCGTCACTGGTGGTGGTCGTGAGCGGGAATGGAACTGGGTTCGCCGGGTTGGTAGCGCAGCATAGCGTTAAGCACTACACCCACCGCTCCTCACACACCACACACGCACAGACACACACACAGACACACACACAGACACACACACAGACACACGCAGACACACACAGGCAGAGACACACACACACAGACAGCACGCTAACCACTACACTACCGCTCCCCACACACCACACACGCACACACACAGACACACACACACAGACACACACACACAGACACACACACAGACACAGACAGCACGCTAAGCACTACACTACCGTTCCCCCTACACAACACACGCGCGCGCGTCCATAGGTACACATACACGTGCTTGCTGCAGACACACACGACTGTCAGGGTGCGTACGGCAGTAAACGACTGAAAAAAGAAAACGGCAATGCTGCGCAAGGAACGCCTTAGACCTGCAACACATTTGTGTAATGCGAGCGTAAACACACAAACACATACACACACATACATACACACACATACACACAAACACATACACACACATACACACACATACATACACACAGACATACACATACACACAAACACACACATACATACACACAAAAACATAGACAATACACACACACATACATGCAGACACACAGACAGACACATAACACACATACATACACAGAAACACATACACACAATACATAGACACACACATACATACACATAAACACATCCACAGACGTACATACACACATACATACAGACACGCAGACATACACATAAACACATACAAAAAAACCCACACACATACACACAAACACATACACACACATACATACACACATGCATACAGACACACAGACATACACAAACATATACACACATACACATGACCCGGCTTCGCCCGGGACTTGGATCCACCACGCCCGGCCGCCTTTGTCTCCCCAGTGCCGATGTTAATACGCCACACCAGTTACTCATTTGAGGCTGAGTCGACCTAGGGGAGGTTCAAATAATCGTCACCGGTGGTGGCCGTGCGCGGGAATCGAACTCGGTTCGCCGGGTTGGTAGCGCAGCGTAGCGTTAAGCACTACACCCACCGCTCCTCACACACCACACACGCACAGACACACACACAGACACACACACAGACACACGCAGACACACACAGACAGACACAGACAGACAAACACACACACAGACACACAGACAGCACGCTAAGCACTACACTACCGCTCCCCACACACCACACACAGACACACACACAGACACACACACACACAGACACAGACAGCACGCTAAGCACTACACTACCGTTCCCCCTACACAACACACGCGCGCGCGTCCATAGGTACACATACACGCGCTTGCTGCAGACACACACGACTTTCAGGGTGCGCACGGCAGTAAACGACTGCAATAATAAAGCGGCAATGCTGCGCGAGGAACGCCTTAGACCTGCAAGACATTTGTGTAATGCGAGCGTAAACACACAAACACATACAAACACATACACACACATACATACACACACATACACACACATACACACATATACATACACACAGACATACACATACACACATACATATACACAAACACATACACAATACACACAGACATACATGCAGACACACAGAGACACACATAACACACATACTACACATACATACACAGAAACACATACACACACATACATACACACACATACATACACACAAACACATACACACACGTACATACACACATACATACAGACACACAGACATAGACATAAACACATACAAAAACCCACATACATACACACACAGACATACACACAAACAAATACACACACATACATACACACATACATACACAGAGACAAACACATACACACAAACACACACATACATACACACAAACACATACACAATACACACACACATACATGCAGACACACAGACACACACATAACACACATACATACACACGCATACATACACAGAAACACATACACACACATACATACACACACATACATGCACACAAACACATGCACACACGTACATACACACATACATACATACAGACACGCAGACATACACATAAAGACATACAAAAAAACCGACATGCATACACACACACATACACACAAACACATACACACACATACATACACACATACATAGAGACACACAGACATACACATAAACACATACACACATACACATGACCCGGCTTCGCCCGGGACTTGGATCCACGATGGCCGGCCGCCTTTGTCTCCCCAGTGACGATGTTCACACACGACAGCAGTTACGCGTTTGAGGCTGAGTCGACCTAGGGGAGGCCCAGGTCCGTTTCAAATAATCGTCAGCGGTGGTGGGCGTGAGTTGGAATGGAACTGGGGTCGCTCAACCAGCTTAATGACTATTTGTACAAAGAACATATAAAGAATCGATTATAATAACCAGGCTACAGTCCACATTATAGACTGGCAGTACACGCACTCAGCTTCATAAGCAGGCTAGAGTGTACATGATAGAGTGGCAGTACGCTCACCGAGTTTAATAAGCAGGCTACAGTCTACATGATAGACTGGCAGTACGCTGACCCAGCTTAATGACTATTTGTACAGTGAACATTTAAGTAATCGATTGTTGGCGCGTTGGGTTTTAAAGTAATATAAATTGCACACATTGTGGTGGGGGTGGAGTGAAGAGTAGGAAAAACTTTGATGAATTTACCTCAGAGTGGCGTGGTGGGTGTCGAGGCCTAGTAGCGTGCAGAGCCTGCGGCCTCGCCAAAATTGTCCAGCCGGCAGAGGCAGGGTACGGGTGGCGTGCCTTCCCCCCCCCCCCCCTCAGCGCTCCAACAATACTGTGTAATGGCTATTATTTAATTATTTACGGAGCCTATGAAAGTGGCGAAGGCGTGGCTAGCCGTTAGCAGGGGCAACCGCCGTCCAATGAAACTGCAGCCCTTGGCGAAGGCGTCGCTAGCCGTTGCCAGGTCCAATGAAAGCGGCGAAGGCGTCGCTAGCCGTTGCCAGGGGCAACCGCCGTCCAATGAAAGTGCGTATGGTCCGAAATCCACACACAGACAGACAGACATGCACGATTTTATATATACAGATAGACTAGCTTTACTACCCGGCTTCGCCCGTGACTTGGATTCTTGTCTTGGATTAAAACAGTGCCTACGTGGAGTGTTTGGGGGGGGAGGGTGACGTCAGCAAGCACACTGCGTAACGCTGCCGCATGCGGGTGTGACATCACAGATGTGATGACAGATGTGATGTCACCGCTCACTTGCGTGCAAAATAAATGCATTACAGTGATCCCTCGTTTATCGCGGTTAATGGGGACCGGAACCCCTCGTGATTGGTGAAAATCCGCGAAGTAGGATTGGCCCCCCCTAGGAATTTCCGTATATGTGTGTGTGGGTACCAGAATGTTTAAAATATGTATATTTATACTTTATATATATATTTTACTTAAATCTATTTAATTATTAAACCTTAATATTATACATTCACTCTCTCTCTCATACGATACGTATTATGGTGTTCTACACTCACCAGTTAATTTCGAACACAACACTAAGATACGCGAGACACAGTTGACCGTGAACGAGAGTGGCGGGATACAACAAGGGAAGAAGTTGGGAGAGGATGCGATGATGCGCAGCCAATCAGCTCACGGAATACTGGTCATCCACTCGTGCTCTCATTCGTCGCTCTCGCGCCGGGAACCAATCACGTGCCTTGTCTGAGTGCCCGTGGGTATGTCCAAAGCCTCTGAGAGAGTTTCTCTCTTTGTCTGGCATCCTGGGAAACCGTTTCTCTCGCGCATCATGATGAAACAACACTGCTTTCCACAATACGGCTGCCGATATGGCGGTATTTTTTAATTTAAATTTTTCGATGAATATTTTTGAAAAATCCGCGATGCACTGAGGCCGCGAAACTTGAATCGTAAAGTGGCGAGG